CCTATAAACCCTAAACCCTTAAATCCTAAACCCTAAACCCTAAACCCCTAAACCCTCAAGGCTAAACCCTAAACCCTAGGGCCCCTAAACCCTAGGGCCCCTAAACCCCCAACCCCAAACCCTCAACCCCTCAAGCCTAAACCCTAAACCCCAAAGCCCCAACCCCTCAAACCTAAACCCTAAACCTTACGAAGCCTAAACTGTTGGGGACGCAGAAGCAGAGCCTTGTCCGCATTCTTCAGGGCTGCAGAAGACCAGGCAAAAAATATTTGGGGGTTTAGGGTTTAGGATTTAGGGTTTAGGGTTTAGGATTTGGGTTTCGGGTATAGGATTTAGGGTTTAGGGTCAAGGATTTGGTGTTTAGGGTTTGGATATAGGATTTAGGGTCTAGGCTTTAGGATTTAGGGTTAAGGGTTTTGGGAACTCCACATCTAAACCGCAACTGAGAGCACCCTCCAAGTGGGGGGCTCCCATTTAGACCCAAATATTAAAAGACTGGTTGGGGTGTAGGGTTTATGGGTTTAGTTGAGGGTTTAGGGTTTCGGGCTTTGAGTTCCGTTTAGAATTTAAGGACCTGCGAATAGGGGACCCGTACCCGTCTTCTTCGGTTTAGGGGTTAGGGTCTCCGTCAAGTGGTATGTTTTTTACCCAAGAGGTCCACGTAAAAGTATATATACTCTCTGTGTTCATGTATCTACGAAGTACCTGCTATATTGCTACATGAACCTTTTGATTCAGGACATCTTCGATCACCTGGACGGGATGTTGACATTCTACAACTGGGTGGTCCATGCCTCTCGCCCCGACCACAGCAGATACTGCACTCAGAGGCCGATGCCTCTCTCTTCGAAGACCCTAAACACTAAACCCTTGAACCCTAAACCCTAAACCCAGTACCTTGTCTTATTCCCTCATTTTTTGTTCGCAGTGTCATAGGATCAGAGAAGGCATATCTCGGTGTCTTACGTGAGGCTCCAGGACTGCAAAACGATGGATGGACGGATGATGATGGATGGATGAACACAGGGTTTAGGGTTTAGGGTTTAGGTTTTAGGGTTCAGGGTTTAGGGTTTAGGGTTTAGGGATGAACACCTGCCAGTCCGTCGTATGAAAGGATGAGGTAAAGGCCTTTACGCACAAGGTGGTAACAGCTACCGCTACAGCACAGCTCGTAGTGGCGAGGCATATCATCGCAGTAGCAATGAAGATAAGATAGGGGCCTCAATATTGCTTATATTATTTTGGGGGATCCTTGTTATAATTGTACTATAAGGGACCCCAGAACCCTATTCTAATTATTAAGGCCCCCTACATTAAGTTTGATCCAGCCTGATCAGGGAAGTCATGATGTCTCCAACCCCCACTAAACCCTAAACCCTAAACCCTAAAAAATAAAAAAAAACCTAAACCCTAAACCCTAAACCCTAAGTTGAGGACTTCTAGAGCTCCGGAGCGGTAGATTCGGGGGGGCTTGGGACAAGGCCAAGGCTTGTACCTGGGTATCCAAAAACCTACCGTTTTGAGGGTCAGAGTTTAGGGTTTAGGGTTTAGGGTATCCAAAAACCTACCGTTTTGAGGGTCAGTTCACCCACAGATTGGGTTTGGGGGTTTAGGGTTTGGGGGTTTAGGGTTTAGGGCTCAGGGTTTAGGGTTTAGGGTTTAGGGGTCAGACCCTATAATGAAGGGGTCGCAACCTACGATTTCGCAGGGTTTGGGGATATAGGTAGGGTTGAGGTAAGGGTTGAGGCTATTGGTGTTATGGGCTTCTGGCTTTATATTGTTCAGGATGTTTCCCTAAGGCACTAAGGACCCATATGTTGAGGGTTTTGGGACCTAAGTCCATACTAGATTGATTGTTTTTGCTATTTTGCGCCTTCGGGTTTCAGGTCTACTGAAACCTTGACAAGCTCACAGAGCTACTAGGGTTTCAGGTTTAGAGGTTAGGGAGTATAGGGTTTGCAGCGTTTTGGGTTTTGGGTATACTACGGTCACAGAGCTACTAGGCTCCAAGGAATCCCATGCCTGGGAGCATGCCCGGCGTTTACGGTTTAGGGTCTAGGGTCTAGGCTTTAGGGTTTAGGGAGTTCGTTGAAGAGTTGGAGTAACTTGCAGAAGCCTGAGTAAGTCACGAATCTTTGGCCAGGATGTTCAGTAGTATCTTGCTTGAACTGTTTGGGGTAGTGGTTCCGAATGTAAAAAGACTAACCCAAAACAAGTACATACACTAACCCAAAACAAGTACATACAGTACTTTTTCCCAGTTGGATACTGAACAGCTTAGTTTAGGTTACTAATTGGGAGAATATATGATTATTGGGTACTTGGACCCTTGGGGGAATGGCTTGTCTGGCAAGGCCTTCTGAGGAAGCCTTTACATATATGTTTGCTTGCAACTGCGCGGAATGGGTCTTAGTCTAAGTTCTACAGAGCCTTTTTCTTCCTCACAGCCCGGATCGTGCATGGCCCAGGAAGAAGTTGTTCGCAATTGGTTCCTGTCCAACGGCTTCGTTGACTATTGGAAGGCAGGTCGAATCACAGACTTTATCACTTGCAGCACCCCCTAAGGCAGCCCTTCTAATACTCCTTGTCATATCCCTCATAGTACATAGTACTTGTAGCTAAAACTAGGCGGCACTTTGGGAAACCTTTTCATCTCCTTTATGGTTCCCATTTTCATTAAAAAGGATTGAGGGGGCCCGAAACTAGAACCCAGTATCTAAATCTTACACTCTGAACCCTCAGTTCCCAAGCTTGACCATGAACCCTAAACCCTGAACACTAAACCCTAAACTGTTGACCCCGAGCCCCAGACCTTAAAATTAGCCTTGAACACGAAGGCTTCGAACCGAAGTTCCAACTTGAACCCCAGAGTCCTTCAACCTTTTACGTTTTTGTAGGGTTTAGGGCTTAGGGTTTAGGGTTTAGGCATGTTTAGATCGTGCAATCTCAACAAGCCGGAAGCCTTTTCGTTGGGCCTTTCTTGCTTCTGGCAGCTTTGGGTAGGACTTCCCAGATTTCTCGACCGGGATCTTGGGCTGTAGGGAGTATTGGTTTTGGGTTTAGGGGTTTTGGGGTGTAGGGTTTAGGGTTTAGAGTTTTGGGTGTTTTTCAGGGTTCAGGGTTTAAGGTCCCAAAAAATCCTACGTACTGCTATGGGGGATACTTCCCCAAATCATACCAATATAATTTCCATAGACACCCTACATTCTACCAAAAAGTTCATACCACCCTTTAGAGTCGGGACACAGGGTTGTGAAATTCAGAGTTGCTTGGAAGGTTGAGTACAGGTTCAGCATGCCCGGCACTGTTTTGCGGGGTTCAGCTGTTGGCACTCCAGTCTAAGATGCAATCTCATGTAGGGTTAGACTGTAAGGAGTTTAGGAGGTGAGTTTGAGCCCGTTGAAAGTCGCTACATATCTCCAACATGTTCGGAGTACTCCTGCGCATTCAAAAGAGGGTTTGCGTAGCAGCGAGCTCTACCAGCTGCGTCTCACCTTCCTCTGCCACGGTCCTGTTTTGCTTTCGCCAAAATCCTT